CTTCCTTCCTTCCTTCCTTTCTTTCTCTCTCTCTCTCCTTCCCTCCCTCCTTCCTTCCTTCCTTCCTTCCTTCCTTCCTCTCTCTCTCTCTCTTTCTTTTGTCTCTCTTCTCTCTTCTTTCTCTTCCTTCTCTCTCTTTCTTTTTCTTCTTTCGTATGTATATATGTATATGCTGTATATGCATGGATACCTGTGTGCCAGAAGAGGGCACCAGATCTCATTATAGATGGTTGTGAGCCACCATGTGGTTGCTGGGAATTGAACTCAGGACCTCTAGAAGAGCAGACAGTGTTCTCAACTGCTAAGCTGTCTCTCCCGCCCAAATTTATAAATGTCTCGTCTTAACCACTTAAGTGGTGGGATTTCAGGTATATGACACCATGCTCAAATTTCTCCTAAGTTATTTTTGGTCAAGCTCTTGTTTATTTTGCTTGTTTGGGCTTTTGTATTTTTAGGGATTGGAAGTTGAAACAGAGACAAAAGTCTCTGTTTGACCTTGAGTTTCAGGCAGTCCTGCTTCTGTACCTGGGATTATAAGCATTGTGAAACCATGCTCAGACTTTGATTAGACTTAATACCAGAATGTTTTTTTTTTTTTTTTCCTGTAATTTCTTTACTGTTTCTTAGACAACTTCATCAGCCTTGAAAGGTGCCATCCAGTTAGGCATCACTCATACTGTGGGCAGCCTGAGCACCAAACCAGAGCGAGATGTCCTCATGCAAGACTTCTACGTGGTGGAGAGCATCTTCTTTCCCAGGTACAGAGGCTAGTTAATGTTTAGGAGAGTACCCTAGACGGTACAACGACTTTTAAATCAACTTCAGGGCGCATGTCTAAGTGCACTAATTTAAGATTGTCAATCCTGAACGTTGTAAATAGGGTAAAAGGATTAGAGAATTTAGAGAGCACACTTAGCCGCATGCCTCTGGCCAGTGTAGTGTCTTGTATAACAAACAAACAAATGACTTATTTAGGCTAGTAAGATGGCTCAGCCTAACAACCTGAGTTTGAACCCCAGGACCCACAGGATGGCTGAAAACTCCTGTAGGTGTTCTCTGATTTCAGCGTATGTACCAAGTTGGCTTGTACGCCTGGGCATACACATATGCACACACACTGAATAAATGTAATATAAAAAATGTTTTCAGAGCTGGATAAATGGCTCAGTGTTTTAGAGCACTTGATGCTCCTTCAGAAGACCTGGGTTCATTTCCTGGCACCCATGTTGTGGCTCACAACTATTTGTAAGTCCAGTTCAAAGGATTTGACACTTTGTTCTGGCCTTCAGAAGCACCAGGCATGCATGTGGTGTACAGACATGCATGCAGGCGAAACACTCACATACAGAATAAAATTAGTTGAGTTTGGTGGTGTCTTTAACCCTAGCAACTGTGAGGCAGAAACAGGCTGTTTCCTGTGAGTTGGAGGCTGGCCATGGCTACATAGTGAGATGTTGTCTCAAACAAACATAAACTTTCAGTTGACTTAATGCATTGGGTAGGAGGCAGTGCGAGTCCTGTGTCTTATTCTCCCGTGTTGTGCCTTTGACCCACAAGTTGACTCATCTCCATCCCCATGTCTCTTAGGTGTACATTGGGCCCCCTTTCAGCATCGATTCAGGATGGATTCCATGGCTATTGGGGACTTGCAGATTAAGGCTTTTTTTTATATTTAATCCCACAGTGAAGGGAGCAACCTGACACCGGCTCATCACTACAATGACTTTCGTTTCAAGACCTATGCACCTGTTGCCTTCCGTTACTTTCGAGAGCTTTTTGGCATCCGGCCTGATGATTATTTGGTAAGTTTGTAATTGCAGAATGTGTGATTCTAAGATCAGAGGAATAATCCAAAGGAATTTCCTTCTTCCACTATTTGCTTTAGTGTTCTTTAAAATGGATGTGAATCTGTACCTAATTTCTATGTGGAGCAGGCCCTGGCATATTTGATGCTTGATGTTTTCTTGTCCTTTCAGTATTCCCTTTGCAGTGAGCCATTGATTGAACTCTGCAATTCTGGAGCCAGTGGCTCCCTTTTCTATGTGTCCAGTGATGATGAGTTCATCATTAAGACAGTCCAGCATAAAGAGGCAGAGTTTCTGCAGAAGCTGCTTCCAGGATACTACATGGTGAGTGTGGAGCAGTCTCAGAAGAGGCGGTCCTCAGCAGAGCAGCCGCTGCTTGTATCTGACAGGGTTTCTCTGTGTGTAGCCCAAAGCCAGTTTTGAATTCCTGAATCTGCTGCCTCTGCCTCTGTGGTATCAGATTCTAGGCAGCCACCACTTTGCCTGGCTTCATGCTGTTCTCTATTTGAGCTCTTTGAGACTCGGAAGGAACATGTAGGTCCCCACATTTTACCCAGCCCCCTTGTAAAGCACAGGAACAGTGTGCAGGGTGCAGGGTTTGCCTTGAGTGTCACTGAGTGTCAGCTAACATGCTCTGTTGCTTGTTACTTCTGTGCCTTAGAATCTTAACCAAAACCCTCGAACGCTGCTGCCCAAATTCTATGGACTGTACTGTGTACAAGCAGGTGGCAAGAACATACGGATTGTGGTGATGAACAATCTCTTACCTCGGTCAGTCAAAATGCATATGAAATATGACCTGAAGGGTTCGACTTACAAGCGACGGGCTTCTCAGAAAGAGCGAGAGAAGACTCTCCCCACCTTCAAAGACCTGGACTTCCTTCAAGATATTCCTGATGGTCTCTTTTTAGATGCTGACATGCACAGTGCTCTGTGTAAGACTCTGCAGCGGGACTGTCTGGTGAGTCACTGTCTCCCTTTCCCACAGAAATCACTTTTGTTGAAAAACCTTGTGATTCTCTGGCATTACATCTGTGGAAGGTGGAGCTCAGATCCTTAGCTACCTGTGTCCTGGGCTGCACTTACTTGTTGGTTGTTTATTTGGGGAGTGTTACCTGTGGGTGGGTGTGAGATGCAGTTGCACCTCGCTGTGTACAGCATAGCTGAGCACAGTTGCCGTCCCTTTCATGTGACTATGTGCTTGGACACGTAGTCCTGTGTGTGGACACCAAGGTCAGCATTGGTTCTTCCCTGACGGCACTCCATCTTACTTTCTGAGACAGAGTCTCTCCCTGAGCCTCGAGTTCTCATTCTGTGGTGACCTCAACTATAAAATTATTTTTGTTACTTCATAACTATAATTTTACTACTGTTAATGAATTGTATCGTAATATCTGTTTTTCTAATGGTCTCAGGTGACCCCTGTGAAAGAGTTGTTCAACCTGCAAAGGGGTCGAGACCCACAGGTTGAGACCTGCTGGTCTAGACTATCAATATTCCATTTTCTGTTTAACTCATTCCGTCTTCTGTTCTTCCCAGTAGGCATTTCATTGCCTCTAACCTCCAACAGATCTCCTGACTCTGTTTCCCAAGTTTGGGAAATACAAGTAAAAGCCATTAGGCCCAGCTTTCTACACCAGACTTATTTACTCACTTTTTCTCTCTCTTTCTTACTTGTTTATTTGTCTTTTTTCAAGATAGGGTTTCTCTGTGTAGCCCTGTCTGTCCTGGAACTCACTCTATAGACCAGGCTGGCCTTGAACTCCCAGAGATCTGCCTGTCTCTGCCTCCCGAGTCCTGGGAATAAACGTGCACCAGCGTGCCTGGCCCTACACCAGGCTCTTCAACCTCCTCCTCATCTTGTTTCTCAGCAAATGACTGGAGCACTCCACCATGTTCTGCCTCTCTGTGTTGTCATGTCCTTGCCCGTATCTGTTCCTGCGTCCTCAATGATGCCCATTTAATCTGTCTCCTGCTTGTCTCAGTTTCAAAGGCTAGACAGCTGCTCAACTAAACGAGCCACCACTTGTTGTAAATTATACTCAGTTGTAGCCAGCTGCTCTTCATCTTTTTCTGCATACCCACTATGACAGTTTGGGACAGCACTGTAAAGTGGGTCATTTAGTTGATAGTAGACCCTTCTCCACCCTGTTCTAGGTGGCAAAACAGGTTGAATGTCAATGCTGTTCAGTCCTAGGTGTGATACATCATGCCTACTGTAGTTGTGCCCTTTTGAGCCTCCTTCATTGGTCACACCTGCCCTGTGCTTCATATCAGATTGTACTGCCTTGTGCCTGGTGTTGCTTCTTTCTCTAGCCTTATCTATCTATCTATCTATCTATCTATCTATCTATCTATCTATCTAT